TAAATCATCCCAGCCAGGGCTTTGTCAAGCCGGGCCTTAAAAAACCTCCAAGGAAGGAGACTCCACCACCTCCCTAGGTAACGCATTCCAGTGTTTCACCACCCTCCTAGTGAAATAGTTTTTCCTGATATCCAGCCTAGACTTCCCCCACTGCAACTTGAGACCATTGCTCCTTGTTCTGTCATCTGCCACCACTGAGAACAGTCTAGATCCATCCTCTTTGGAACCCCCTTTCAGGTAGTTGAAGGCTGCTATCAAATCCCCCCTCACTCTTCTCTTCCGCAGACTAAACAAGCCCAGTTCCCTCGGCCTCTCCTCATAAGTCATGTGCTCCAGCCCCCTAATCATTTTCATTGCCCTCAGCTGGACTCTTTCCAATTTGTCCACATCCCTTCTGATGCAATACTCCAGATGTGGCCTCACCAATGCCGAATCGACGGGAATGATCACGTCCCTCGATCTGCTGGCAATGCTCCTACTAATACAGCCCAATATGCCATTGGCCTTCTTGGCAACAAGGGCACACTGCTGACTCATATCAATATTTTGCTGCATTTCTTCAGTACAAAAGAAATACTAGACAAAGTATCCTGAAAAAAAGGAAACATTATGTCTGGGCATTTCCAGAATTAAATGCTTTGGTTTTTTTTCAACTCAAAGTGTCCTTTTGTTTCAAAACTGACAGCAATTTTTATTTTAAACTAATTTTAAAATTATATTAAATGCTTGAAAATTAAACAAAACCATTTTCTGTTTGGCTTTTTCAGTTGGACAAGAAATTGGGCCAACTCAAAACAATTCCCCCCCCCCCAATCTATTAGAACTGCCAGTGACCCAAAGATCTGTTATTTGTGCATCTCTGTTGCCTGGTGCTCCACCCTGCCCTGAATCTCGGCTGGAATTCCCTTTCCTTCCTCATTTCGGTCTTGACTCTCTCCTCTTCCCCTCTGGCAGAGTTCACTGTGTCAGCCGTGAGAAGCTCCATTCAGCTCCGAGCCCAGCCCCGTGGGCTTCCCAGCACCAGGATGGTTTCCTTCATCCTCTGCCTTTTCCCTGCTCTCCTAGCTACGAGTGCACAAGGTGAGTCATCCGCTGCTGTGGCCATGTAACCCCCCTGGACTTGGACCCTTTATACCCCATGGATCCCCAGTCAGGGGAACATCCAGCATGTGCAGGGAGGGGGGATTAGCTCTGTGTGGGGTACAGAGCCTTGTCTACACTATGGTTACTGTAGCCACTTAGCCACAGTGCTGTGGGCTATCTGGGCCGGCAGAGCCCCATAGTGAAGGTGTCGCCTGTCCCAATGGACGGGGTTTTCCATCCTTCTAGGAACTCACCTCCTCGAGCGATGGTAGTTGAGCCCAGGGAAGCATTCACTCGTCGACCTGCACCTACTCCAGGGGTTAGACTGGTCTAGCTGTGGTGCTCAGGGTGTGGATTTTCACACCCACCCCCCACCCTGAGCGCCACAGCCATATCACCCTAGCTGTTTAGTGTAGACCAGGCCTGAGGGACACCGTTACTGGATACTGCCCTGAATTCTCATTTCCACAAAGGCCCCTCGGCACTGCTTTGGCAGCAGAAAGGGGACTAAATATAGGAGTAAATGACACTGCTTGGGGATTGAGTGTAATCTGGAATCACACCTACAATTTCCGGTAGCAGAGGGCTCGCCAACCTAGGAAACAAAGACACAATGAGATCCAATGGCTGAGAGTTGAATTTAAACTAATCCGAAGTGGAATAAACCCTGGCAAAGCTTCTCAAGATGGGGGTGGGGGTGGGCGGATTTGGGGAACACGGGACAATGAACGTCCTTTTGTTCTATTTTTTTCCTGGCAATTTCCATCCTTCCCATCCCCCACAGACTGCGAACGGCTGGGCTGATCCAGAGGGCTGTGGGCTAAGTTGGCTTCACCTTAAGCCCCCTTTATGTCCCAGAGGCTCGGGGCCATGTAAACAGGCTATAAAACGGAGGCACCTGTCCATCAGAGAGCCTTCCCAATGGGGATCAATCCCCACGTGGCTATGGGCAAGACAGCTGGCTTCTGCACCCCAAACCTTTCTGTCACACCCCTCCGCTGGCCGGCTGCCAGCCCAGAGAGCCTGGCTACTTTCATCTCAATGGCACTTCTCTGCTTCTGTGCAGCATGCTAACGTCTGAATCCTGCATCTGACCAATTCCAATAATCAGGCATCACTGGGCAGAACCCTATTGATTTTGGGGAAAATGAGAGAACTGGAAGAGGGAAATCAGGGACACACAGAGCCATTGGGTCTGGCCAACCCAGCTACACTTTCAGCCCCCTCTGTAATTGTGTGTAGATCACAGAGTCGGTTGGTGGTGACAATGACACCTTCCAGTCCATCAACCCAACCAGCCCAGCGTCCCCATGGAGCTTAACATGTTACTCCCTGAGCAGCTGATCTCCCAGACAGAAAGACGGGTGATGGTGGGGGGAAGAATGGGGGGTACACAGCAGCTGTGGCATGGTGGGGGGAGAATGGGGGACACTGGTATGGGGGATGGGGGCACACAGAGCGCCTGGCATAAGGTAGGATGGGGGGGCGGGGAGCTAGCCAGGCATCCCTGCAATGGAAGGGGATGGGTGAGGCATGCGAGGAGTTTGTGAGGGCCACAAGGAGCCCCGGGCGGCTGTAGTGGACTCAGCCAACACACGCTGCAAAGCGCGCGACTCTCCAGTACTGTGAATACCTGCACAACGGGAGCCACATCTGGGGTGGGCGGAGTTTATTCTGTGGGCGGAGCTTGTGAAGAGCCCCATCTCCTTCACCCATCCCCAGTCTGATCCTCTGGGTACCACTGGCCCAGGGGCTGAAAGTGTGTAATTGCTGAGTGTCGCTGAGGAAATTGGGTCCGTTAACCCCACGGCTTGTTTGGAGCAGAGGGGGAAGACTGGGGCTAAGGGAGGTGACACTGTTACGCCACAGTAAGAAGGAAACACTTGTTCTTGTTTTTTCTCCAGCGGCAACCCTGACATGCAAAACCTGCGTTGGTTCAGCAGACGCCTGCCGTACTGCTCAAGGGACCTGCAGCGTAGACAAGGCTACAGGTAGCTGCTATTCGGTGGCAGAAGAAATTACACTGGGTAGGTGACACTGCTGTCAATCCGGGCACATCCTACCCTGCAGTCTGTCATCATCCTCATTGCTAAGGCCAACCCCAAACAGTCCATCAACAAAGCACGGTCACCTGGCGTTGCAAATCTCCCTTTGACTTTAGGGGGGCCAGGATTTCAACCCTTGTGCTTTATTTATTTTTATTCACGGAGTTTCCTTCTCCACAACGGACGTCAAAAAGCAAAGTGAAAATGGCCGTTCTGAATCATGTTAAAAACTGGAAATTGGCACTGAGATCCCTTGTACACTGTCACCTTCCTCCCGATGTCCTGTCTCAGCTGTTAGTCTCCTGCTCAGGGCTGGAGTTCTGCCTTACACATTTTTTCCCCTTGCTTGGGATGCAAACTCAAGATGTTTTTTGCCCTTTGGACTTAAAAAGATTCCAAACCTTCTCTATGTTCAACTCCCTGAGGTCCTCGCACTAGCGGATTTCACTGGTTCCCTTCATTTCTCAACGTTTGCCCTTTGAAATCGAAAACCTCAGTTACAGACCTGGTATTGTTCATCCTCCCATTGAATTAAAGAGATTTAAGATTCCTCCATTTACCCTGCAAGAAGGATGCATAGCACAGCTTTAACGTAGTCTGTCATTACCTATCTATCTATCTATCTATCCCCATACACCCCCCCATACACGCATCTCTCCCTCTCTCTCTCTTTCTCCTGACCCACCCTCCCCTCTCTGACCACACTCAGGAAATTTTCCCAGCACAGTGAAACATGGGTTGATTAAAATTTCCACCCACTCAAGATACGGCTTCACTGCAGAGTTATTATGGGCTGTGACCCGGGGTTTAGCCCTAGTTCCCCCACCATCCCCTACTACCCACACACAAACCCCTTTAACCTCCACCACTTGACTGAGGAGCACGTCAGTAAATGTTTGTTCCCCGGGTAGGTTCTGGCAGACGGGGATCACGTCACCCCCGAACCGTCTCTGTGTTCAGCTCCACGGATCGAGCTCCTGGCATCTCTCACGCTAAGGCAGATTTTCTAACCCTTTAATCGTCCCCACGGCTCTTCTCTGACCCCTGACTACGGTGATCAAATGTCCCGATTTTATAGGGACAGTCCCGATATTTGGGGCTTTTTCTTATATAGGCTCCTAATACCCCCCCCCCCAACTTCTGTCCTGATTTTTCACATTTGCTGTCTGGTCACCCTACCACTGACCAACCTCCTTCCTGAATGGTGGGGCAGCGTTGCCCCAGGGCCAGACATGGAGGTATAATCGCCTCCCTGCTCCTCCTCGAGGTTCCCCTCCCAGCCTCTCAGTTCTGTTCTTTGTTTTCTTTCTTTACAACAGGTGGGGGAAAGATCACTGGCTTCTCCAGTGGCTGTTTAGATGACTATAATATTGTCATAAAAGGCCCCATCACTGTCACTGTTGCGAATGACACATATCTGCGGATCAACACCTCCTGGTGCAACACAGACAATAACTGTAACTCGGCCGTACCGGAAGGTAGGTTATGGATCTCTTTTACTGGCCCCATTTAAGGGCTTGTTCATCCTAACAATTAGACAGCGGTGAGCTGGGGTGTTTGTCACCATGCCTCGGTGGGTCACAACGGAGAATACCAAATTCAGGACAGGCTGCTGGGGAAAAGGGCAGACACACCCCAAAACTGGTGGTTATTCTTCCAGGAGAAATACCAAACCAGCAACCAAAGTAAACTTCTGTTTCACCACACCATTCCTTAGGCCCTCCAGTCCTTGTATCACCACCAAAACCACTAGAGCAGGGGTGGCAACCTATGGCACATGTGCCAAAGGCGGCACGTGAGCTGATTTTCAGTGGCCCTCACACTGCCCGGGTCCTGGCCACCGGTCCGGGGGAGGCTCTGCATTTTAATATAATTTTAAATGAAGCTTCTTAAACATTTTAAAACCCTTATTTACTTTACATACAACACTAGTTTAGTTATATAATATAGACTTAGAGAAAGAGACCGTCTAAAAACATTAAAATGATGAGTGGCACGCGAAACCTTAAAACAAAGTGAATAAATGAAGACTCGGCACATCACTTCTGAAAGGTTGCCGACCCCTGCACTAGATGAGTGGTTATTTAAAATCAATTTTCTCAAACAAAAGGGTTCTTCTGATCCCAAAGGGCCAGCCACATACCCAGGTCAATATACAAATCAGATCTTACACAATAGTCATGCTGGTGCCAATCCTTTAGTATCTAAAATCTAAAGTAGGGCTGTCAAGTGATTACAAAATTAATTGCAATTAATCACACTGTTAAACAAAATAATAGAATGTCATTTATTTAAAAATTTTGGATGTTTTCTACATTTTCAAATGTATTTATTTCAATAATAACACAGAATACAAAGTGTACAGTGCTCAATTTATATTTATTTTTGATTACAAGTATTTGCACTGTAAAAATACCAAAAGAAATATTATTTTTCAATTCACCTAATACAAGTACTGTAGTGCAATCTCTTTATCATGAAAGTTGAAATTACAAATGTAGAATTATGTACAAAAACACCTGCTTTAAAAAACAAAACAATATAAAACTTTAGCGCCTACAAGTCCACTCAGTCCTATTTCTTGTTCAGCCAATCGCTCAGACACACAAGTTTGTTTACATTT